GGTTTAGGGGTTAGGGTGTAGCGTTTAGGGAGTTAAAGGAAACTACAGGTGGGGAGTTTAGGGTATATAGAGCTTCCATAAGGCGTCCATGAGGTATATAGACCTTTATAAGGCTCCTAGAACGATAACTACCCACCTGAAAATGTCCTAGAGTTGGGGGTTTAGGTGCATAGTATAGGGGCCTTGACAGTTCCGTTTAGCGTATAGGCTTTCGGGCTATGGTATAGGACTTAATGTTCAGCTTTTGGGCAAGGCTTGAGGATTTTTAGGATTTAGGGTTTGGTTTATGATGTTAAATTGATTCAGGAGCCCTTTCAAAGGAGCCCTTAAAGAAACCCCCTGAAAGGAGCCCCAAATACAGGAGCGCTTAAAGGAGCATCCCCATGCAAACCCTAAACCTCAAATCCAAACGCTGTACCAGCACGCACTAAACCCTAAACCCTAAACCCTAAACCCTAAACCCTAAACCCTAAACCCTAAACCCTAAACCCTAAACCCTAAACCCTAAACCCTAAACCCTAAACCCAAACCCACAGGCCATGGGGCTGGGATCGCGTCAACAATGCTGCTGCTGACTGGACTGCTGGGTGCACAGTGCACAGGGTTAGTAAACCCTAAACCCTAAATACCTAAACCCTAAACCCTAAACCCTAAAGCCTAAAGCCTAAAGCCCTGAAACCCTAAACCCTAAACCCCTAAACCCTAAACCCTAAATACCTAAACCCTTAACCCTAAACCGATAGAGTGTAGAAGGCCGAACCCCCCCCAAACAAACAATGAGTCTTTTGTTGGGGACGATGGCTTGGCTGTTTCGGATACCTTGAACTACCAGAACCTACTTTTTTTGTAGGTCCTTATTATAAAACCCTAATATAGAATTTATAGGGACCCTACAAAAAAGTAGGAATTTTGGTAGTTTCGGGATAACGCTCCGGGTGTTCTTGTGCGCCTAGCTCTGGAGTCGGTCCAGATGCGCGACACCGAACCCCTCCCCCCCCCTAAACCCTAACCATCCCTACCCTTAAGCCCTAAGCCCTAAGCCCTAAATCCTCAACTCTACATCCTGAGCCCTAAACCCCAAACCTTCAACTCTACATCCTGAACCCTAAATTCGCGAAAGGCCGACCAGAACGCCAGCCTCTCCCCACAGCCATGGGGACCGTAGCCCCACGTCGGACCCGACACCGGATCACCTTCCCCTCGACCTCGAACCCTTCTAGGGGCGCTGTCTACAGTTTCTATGTCATGTCAGACCAGAGTGGTTGAAAAGATTTGATAGTTAGATGCTTTGTTTAGTGTAAAAGTACTTTAAACTACCAAAACCTACTTTTTTATGCAGGGTCCCTATCAATTTTATATTAGGGTTTGTAATAAGGTCATACCAAAAAGGGCATGGACCGCAAATGTTGCAGGTTGAACCATGATGTTTTGTGTGACTTTCTCGAAATAGGCAGCCAACTTGAGCGAATAGCATGGCTGACTATGATTCGAAGCACCTGTAGTCCCTGAAACAACTAGCAAACCACACAAACCCTGTTCCAGCGCATAGAAGCCAACCTTCAATTCCGAAAGCCTACACCATCAAGGATATATTACTTCCTGTCAGCCTGTTCACATTAGGAAGCTTGGATGCACTGCGGTCAACAAGCGTCCCAAGGCCCCACGCATGCAAACCGCTGGGGGCAATGGATTCAGGGTTTAAGGTTTAGGGTTCAGGCCGCAAACTTTGCACGATGTCGTGGGGCTTAGGATCTGAACATGAATCCTAACGTTGAACTTATTGAACCCTCAACCTTAAACCCCAAATCTGAGAAACCCTCAACATTGAATCCTAAACCTTAAACCCCAAACCCGTACAAAACCTCAACATTTAACCCTAAGCCTTAAACCCCAAGCCCTAAACTGTAACCCTGAACCTCACGCCCCGGAAGGACCCGGACGAAGAGGGAAGAGCTAGACTCACTGCCCCTCAGCTGCATCTGTGATTCTTGGGGTTCAAGCGTTCAGGGTTTAGGGCTTGGGGTTTTGGGTTTGGCTGCAGGCTTCGAGTAGCCGGTCGTCAGTCTTTCACGCGCAACAACCCTTTGGTAATACGGGTTTTTCAGAGACCCTAGACTCCTAACCCGTAAAGTTCTTATCAGGTTATTTTCTTGTGGTTTACAAGGTGTAAAAAAACCATCAAGCCTGACAAGCTTGAGGCAGCCCACTATCCCCTTGATGATCTTTGATGAAGCAAGGTACCTTTCAAAAACATAGGTGTATTCTGCCGGCTTGAGCATAAATTGCTCTTCATGCAGCTCAACTCCACCCAATAACTTCAGCTCGCCAAGCGAGATAACTTTGGTTTCTAGAAGCCATGCTCATTCGCTTTGGGGTTTGTAGATGCTTCCCTAAGCACGGCATTTAGGAATCCAGTTCGTTGGGAGTTTCGGAAAAGCAGATGCATTCATATAGGCTCAGACCTTGCATAGTAGGTTCCTTGTGATACGGCTTCCTCCAGCAAGTGCCACTGATTCTCCGATTTGTGCGCAACTCGGTTTTCTTGACAAAGGTCATCATTCCCAGCCATGGCCCAGAGCATATCCACAGCCCTAAACCGTAAACCCTGTAAGCCACAAATCTCCCTGAGGGTCCATGTACCCAAATAGTCTACATTGGCCCCAAAGTACTTATATAGGGACCACTTTAAGGCCAAAGAATATCTATTTGGGTACATGGACCCTTAGGGTCTACAGTCTACACACTAAACATCCCCAAACCCCAAAGGGTCCACAGCCTCAAAATCGAGAGCCTGGTTTGTTTTTGTTACCCCCTGTGCGGGGCCCTTTCCTGCATGTACAACATTAAATCGAAACCCTAAACCCTAAACCCTAACCCCTAAACCCTAAACCCTAAACCCTAAACCGAAACCGTCCGCAACACAGTCGTCCTCCCAAGTTTAGGCTGCGTTTCATGCCTTCCCAGCTAACGTCGCTTCTGGTGGCAGCCCGAGTTGTCGGGTTCGGGGTTTGCATCTGCCGCATTGAGGGGCTTCAGACTTACAGGTGTGGGAGTTTCCGAAAATAAGGGGTACCTTGTTTTGGGGTAAGGATCCTATTATTTAGGGTATTCTATTAGGGTCCCCTATTCTCGTCGGAAACCCTCATGTAGCATTGGTTTTCGGCTTTGCTTTGCCAATCCTCTATTGGATGTCTGGCTTCCGGCGGCCATCGCCTCCGGAAAGGGAGTGGTGCAAACAGATGAGCCTTTAATCCGAAACCTAGGCCCTGCGCGCACTAAACCCTCGACTGTAAACTGCAGTTGGCTGTATGGGGAAGGGGAACCCTCAACCCTAAACTCCCTATGTACATCCTCAAAACCTCTAACCCCGAACCCCTTAAACCCTACATGTAAACCCTAAACCTTAGATAGCCAATGGGAGAAGTTTATGAGCTTTTTGGCCCTTTATATTAGGTCTATCCTAAAAAGTTTGAACTCTTTTTGGCCTGGCTGTTGAAGAAGAGCGAATCCCAGTGCTTTCTGTTAAGGAGCCCAAAACCCTAAACCCTAAACCCTAAACCCTAAACCCTTATCTTTAAGGCCCCTAATATAGAACCCTATCATAGCTCCCTTATAGAACCCTTGAAGGATCCCTTTAAAGGAACCCTATTCTAATTATTAAGTCCCCTACATCCGGGCTGTATATCCGAACGATAAGGCCCTGGATGCAAGAAGCCCTGCGATCACAGTTCGGGCAGACACCCCAACGAATTCTTGCGCAGTTGAGGGTTTAGGGCTTGCGGGCTTTAGGGTTTAGAGTTGTTTTTGAATTTCGGGCTTTAGGATTTAGGGTTTGAGGGCTTTAGGATTTAGAGTTGTTTTTTTGTTTTTCTCGGGCTTTTGGTTTAGAGCAACCGGTCTGGTTTAGCGCTCAGAGGTTGGGATTTACGGTTCAATTGAACGTCTCAAGAAGCCGTCATGGTTTCAAGGTTTAGGGATTAGGGTTTAGGGTTAAGGGTTCAGGGTTTTTGCCCCTAGCTTCCAAGACTATGAAGCTAAAAAATGAAGCCCTAGCCCTAGCCGTAAAGTTACATGATTCCAACACGGCCTGCACCCTCAACCTTACTTTACAAACCTCAACCTTACTTTAGGATGTAGAGGTCAGGGTTTAGATGATCTGAACTTCGGAAACCTACAGCTTCTGCCGTCCTTCAATCCACAGCGCCTTCCTCCCCCGCGTGAGCAAAGCCTGCCGGCCAGAACACTGCCAATCGAACGCTGCACTATCCGATGTCACCCAGCCTTGTTTGAGTGATAGTCGGCTTAAGTGTGTGGGTGGTGATGTTTTCAGGTTAGGATGTTGTTTTACTTGGGTGTTCGTGGCTTGAAGTTTGTAGTTTGGGGTGCTTCAAGTCCTGGATTCCGGGAGAGTGCCCAAACCGCACAACCCCCAAACCCAAAACTTCAAGGACCCTTCGCCCTAGACTCGTTTTTGGGCTGGGCCCTGGCTTTCAGGGGGCTTCAGCAGGCCGTGAGGATCTGAGAAGGCGTTTCAGGTTTCGGGTGTATAGCCATAGGCCCCATAGTAGTTCCTTTTTGGGATTACCTTATAGAATTCTAAAATATGGACCCCAAAAAAGGAACTACCATGGGGCCTGTGGGTAATGTGCATAATATAGAAAAAGATTACTCCCTGAGGTTCCTCATTGCTTTGTGATACTGGTACTTTAAGGAGCCCAAAACCCCTATTCTAATGATGAAGGCCCTACTGCAAGGGGGGTTAGAGTTGAGGGGTTTGCCTGGCCTAGCTTTCTGCCTTTAGCTTGCTGTGTATATTCTACAAACCCTAATCCCCAAACCCTAAACCCTGAACCCTAAAGATCGGTTGGCTTCAGGGATGCGGGCGGGCTTAACGGGCTGATTGTGATTGTTCGGGTCGTACTTGCAGCAGAGGCTACTCCCTGGGCCCTAGACCTAGACACCTGCACCCTAAACCAAGATCGGGAGGTTTTGGTTGGTATCTGGGTTTGGGGTTGGGGTCCAGGAGGTGGCACTCTTACCCACGCTGGAAGGAGGGAGGCAGAACAGGTGACCCTTCAAGGTCACTATGTGTTGGTCCAGTGGCTCATTTTAAGAAGGGCTTCAAAAGGTTCGGCTCTTATGTCTATCTTGAGGCATGCATGGAACTCGATAAGCCCTTCAGACAGTAGCTGATTTCCAAGGAGGCACAGCCAGGCTCGTGGCGCCACGTCTTAAACCCTATCTCAAAACAAAGAGTTTGAAGCCGACATGTTTGCAGCCTGACAGCTGCATCTTAAAACCCTAACCCTGAAACCCTCACAGCCCTAAAACCTGAACCCGAAAACCTTAGATAGCCAATGGGAGAACTTTGAACTTCTTGGCCCTATATACTACGTCTATCCTAAATGAGTTTGAACTTTTTTGGGGCCTGGTTGTTGAAGAAGCGAGAAACGGGGGTCCCGAGGTTTCAGCTGGTGGACGGTGACGGCAATCGAACGGAAAACTGGGACCACTTCGTCGACTTCACGCAGATCAAGACCCGATGGGCTGGATGTCGGGGGTTTAGGTTTTAGGTTTTAGGGTTTAGGGTTTAGGGTTTAGGATTTAGGGTTCAGGGTTTAGGGTTTAGGGTTTAGGGTTTAGGTTTTAGGGTTTAGGGTTTAGGGTGGTTTTCTAAATTAGGGTCCCTTTGAGGGTCCTTTTTATAAGGGTGCCGTACTATATTGGGGACCCCAAAAGGGAGAGAACTACCCAAAAAGGGGCCTAAATGGCCTAAATAATTACCTATGCTATTTTGGGGGTGCCTTCTTCTAGTTATAGCAGAATATACCCCCAAAGCCCTATTGAAATTATAGAGGCCCCTACATGAGGGCTTGAGGGTTTGGGGTTTTGGGCCGTGGGATTCAGGGTTCCTGTGTCAATCAGCGGTGAATCAACCCTAAACCCTAAACCCTAAGCCCTAAACCCTAAACCATAAACCCATCCTTCCTTCATTCGTTCTTTCTTGCAATCCCTTCCATTCATCCATCAATCCATCGAGCCAGCCATCGATTCATTACTTCATTCATTCTTTCTTTCTGTCAGTAGTCAAGCAGCCATCCATTCATTACTTCATTCCTTCTTTCTCTCATTAGTCAAGCAGCCTTCCATTCATTACTTCATTCCTTCTTTCTTTCTGGGCTTCAGGGGGACTCATCTCAAGTTACTAGTCTTGGTAGCAACATCTACTTTCTTTCTGTCATTTGTCAGGGAATCTGTTTCTAGCACGGCACCCACTAAGCCTGCAGGAGCAAGCAGAACGCTGTGCCGGGGACCTTGGTGGTGCGCCAGCGCACCGCTCCACCAGAAGGAGACATGCGCAGGGTGTTGAATGTTGAGGGTTGTGGATCCTTTCTTGTAAGTATAGGCGCCTGACGACTTCAACAACGTGAAGCACGAAGCATATAGTCAAGCTAGAGATATTGAAGTCCTATTCTTGGCAGTCTGTGCAGCGCCGCGCACAGAAGCGGGCATTACGATGGTAGGGGATGAAGTAACATTAGGGGTTGGGAGTTTCGTTTTGGACATGGCACCTCCAAGGTCAGGTTTAGGGTTACAGTTTTTCGTGCTCATTAATTTCGGCCGGTGCTGCTTGTGAAGGTTTCATGTGCCTACACCCAGCTCGCTTGCAGGATTCACGAAGTTCCGGTGACAGCTGCAAACGCGTACCAACAACCTCACCCTCCACCTTGAAACCGTATTCGTGAAACCGGAACCCTTCAACACGTCAAAATCCCAAAGCCTTCATGGCCTCAGTTTAGACGGAGCGACGTGAGAGGGGGATGACCCCGAATGTGCGCAATGCCGGCTCATGCTCAATGGGTCCAAGCATCTCGCAAGCATAGTAACTCGCAGGGCATATATATATATACACACATATATATAATATGTATATACATATATATATATATATATATATTCAGTTATGTGTATGTATATATATATATATACACGATTTTTTGCGCATTGAACTGTTTGGGTGGCATGCCACTCTGCCACTAGGACCTTTGCCAAACTGGAGGCCCCCCAAAAGAGGCCTAATATAGAAGCCGAAATAAATACCAATAGTACTGCTATAGGGTTCCTTATTATAGTAATACTATACAGGCGGCCAAAACCCTATTCTAATTATGAAGGCCCCTACATTATCGTAGGGGTGCCAGCATTTTCATGAGCTGGCTTGCCCTTGCTGGGGGGTCTTAGTTTTAATAGGGTTTTGGGGTGTACTGTACTATAACTAGAATAGGGAACCTCCGAAATAGTATGGGTAAGTATGAAGGCCCTGTGGTTTTTAGATCCCCGACCCCGGAGACTCCCCATAGCCCAAAGTAGGTACCGTTTATGGACTCTAGACCCCACAGACCCTAAACCCTAAACCCTGAACCCTAAACCCTAAACCCTAAACCCTATACCCTAAACCCTAAACCCTAAACCCTAAACCGTCTTGGAGTCTTAGGGCAAAGAGGTCTCGGTTTGGACCCACTGGGCACGACTTAAGAGAAGTCGCTTTGGCGAACGAGGCGAAGGATTTTAGAGCCTTCGGCGTCCAAGTCTCTGACTGGCACCATTCTGCGATAGTGTTCGGATTTTTCTGTAGGATGTACACGGGGTCTACAAGGGTTGCACAAGAGGCCTTGTACATGCACCTTTAGGGTTTAGGCCGTCAGGTTTGCAGAATCTTGGGTCTAGGGTTTGCGGTTTAGTGTAACCCGCCTTCTGATTCTGAGTATCACTTCAGTTAAATATCATAATCATAATTTACCCCGCTTCCTGATTCGATTTGTTTAGGCCCCTATGTCCGTATGTTAGTGTCAGAGGTGACATGCAGTATGCAGAAGGCTTCTAGCCATATGCCCACAAGCCTTCAACCCAAAGCCGTAGGCCTGTAGGCAACCTATAACCCGTAAACCCGTAAACCCGTAA